TTTAGAGATTATTCAGTTCCTGACTGATTTGTTGAAGGACCATTTTAATGGTTTAACTTTAAGCCATATAGTAGCTCACAATTTAAAGATGAAAGCTTGATCTCTTGTACGAGGAGCAGTTCTGCAAGACTAGTTTTGTCTGTGATAGACAAAATGTCGCTGCCACCTGAATTTTAACCATTCTGCTACTTTACTTAAAGTGTTGTAGCAGCTCATTAGCAACAAATGCAGATCCTTCCCTGCCTAAAGAGAAGTAGAATTCTACTGATAACCCTCCTGAATATCTGTGTCCTTACAAAGACAAATCTCCGTAACATCCAACAATTTGAGAGGAAATTACTGAATTCTACAAATTTCTAAGGGAAAAGTAGCACAGAGGTATTATATAGGCTTTAGTTTCTCTATTAATATTGCACCTAGCTTTCAATTACTGACACACCTCTAGACATTCCCACCCACCCAAATTTTACTAATATTCAACTGAAATATGCTTTTCAATGACAGTTCTTACTATGAAGGATATAATAAAGTTCTTCAGGGTCCTGATTAGCATATTAGTTTGAGACAACTGTTGTTAACCTGCTATGTGATGTCCAAAAGTCAATATACTGTTTTCTTCAAAATTTAAGTTTAATTTTTAAAAACTTCCTACTAAGTCCAAGATCAAAGTTTTCCATTACTATTTTTAGCAGATGTCATCCCCTCTCATTTATGCTGCTCCAGTAACCCCATCAGTCCCACTCTATGAACTCCAAGGCATTAGATTGGTATGTCATGCAAATGCAGCACCTTGCAAAGAGGTGGTCTTGGCACTGTTCCCATAGTTATCCCTCATGACCATGTATGGTCTACTCTGGGCTCATCCCAAGGATTCTTGGCTTTTATGAGTTCCTTCTTTCACTGGGAATGTTTAGAGGCAGTTGCAGGTGAGTGTTGTGAGTCAGCCACAGCCTAATCTGCCCACTGGTTTAATGACAAATATTGGACCGATTTTGGCTCCTAGTTTTTGTCAGAAGGTGACTTATTTATACACCTTGTCTATTTAACCGTGCTGTTAACCAACCATGCCTTTCTCATTAACCCAGGGTGGCTCCCCACAGTAAAGCTATTATACCATCGGCTTCTAATTGTCTTGGACCAGCTGAAAAGTTTCAACTGTCAAATGATCTTTCAGGTGCGAGGTTATCAGCATTTCTACCAGAGATACTATTAAAACCACTGTTTAACATGGTTCTGCAGACCTCCTGGAGACCATATAGCATGGTCTGACTGACCATAAACAGTCTGCTGACTACAGTTTTGGAACAGCAACTTCACATGATATAGATTGTACCTTCCTTCAGGTAATATGATAATAGAAACAGGACACCAGACTTCCCAAACCACAAGTCTGACCCATCATGGTAGTTCTTATATCCCTATTCACCCATCCAGACTGGTCTGGTAAAGGTTTTCATACTGTGGCTCAAATCCTGAAGTTAGACAATGTCTGAAAAAAGATTTCTTCCAATTTTTTTTCTTAGTTTTTTCATTGGCTTGATCTTCTTTTCTTGGACAGGGTAAAATAGATACAGTTACAATATTTTATATCAAAACCATTTTCATGTTGATTTGTTAATCCTTCAGAATAGTGCACAGTGATTAAAGATGGACACAGGTTAGAAGTTTAGCAGGAATAGTTCCAATGCATTAATGATTCACGCTACTGATAGTGCACGATAATATGAGCAGGCACTTAGGTTTCATGAAATTAGTCAAGATGTCCAGTGAGATGCAAATGGACTATAATGTACTTTGAAATTAAGTTATCTCAGATGTCATTAACTATCTTATCAAGAAAAGACGTGGCTTTTGCCATGACGTGTATCACTAGGTAATATGTATAATCTCTTTCTGAAATGCCACAAGAGAGAAAGCTTTCATTTTACCTGTGTAAATTATCTAAGAGTTTTCAGGTGATGTCACTGCATAGTTTTTATTTCCTCTCCGCACCTTTGCATGACTGTGGCAGTTCTTTTAAGTTTCTGCGGCTCTGTGGTGCTTGGTTATGTTCTTTAATTTGCTGTACTGTTCTTGCAGAACATGTTTCTTCTAATGCCAGTGATAGCGAAAGTAGCTACAGTAAGTTACTGCTTTCATTAGAGTCCTTTTACTTTGCGTTGCTTGTTCTATTTGTTTCTTTTATTACGTTTCTCTCCTTGCTACTCTTTTGTTAATGTTAAAAAGATGGTTGGAGCAAATGGCTTGGAATTCAAATTTACGACCACATCTTGAGTACAAAGCTGTAAAAGAAAACTGGCAACCTTTATAAGAAAAGGGAGAGAGGTTGTATTCTGGGACATAAAACTAAATCTGGCTTTGGGTAGCCTGTGAAAGTCAGGATTATTTGATTTAGTGACAAGAAATTTATTTCAGCAGGGAGGGGGCAGTTTCTTGATGATCTTTTAAGAGTAAAATTACTCCATAGCTGTAGTCAAATCTGCAAAAGGTATCCTCTTTACAAAGTCACAATTTTTACTTGCATTTCTGCATGCCTGTATGAAGGGCTAAGACATAGTTCAAAAAATTCTGTTGAGCACTTAATTTTGGCAGTACAGATTTCCTAACACACATTGAAATCTTCAAAAAAAGATACGATAGATCTTCACCCCTTAGGCGCTGCCACTGAATGTCACTGATTCCCTATAAGTGGAGGTCCTCACCCTGCAATATGATTTGGTTGGAATTACAGACTTCGTGTTGTCATCTAGCCAAAAGGCAGATGATTGTACTTCTGGGTAACCATTAGTAATACCCAAAAATTTAACCAGCAAAACTATTATTCTGGAAGTGTTGAAAAGCAAAAAAACCCAAATCATTAAATAGCTGACTGGAAATGTAATAAAAGGTAATTAAAATGATAGATTGCTTACTAAATCACCCAGTTGTTTAATTTTTTCAAGCCATTTGCTTAGCAAATCAAGTTTTCCACCAGTCACTCAGCACTTGTGCTAAGCACCCACATACATTCAGGTAATCATTGGTACCATACCTCATATTTACTAGTCTTGATATAGTGCATAGCAGTTGAGCTCTGTTAATAAACACCAGTTTGTTTCAGTAAAACAGCTAATCTTATGCAATTCAGAAACATGTAAGTTAGTTTGTATTCTCCTGTATTGCCAAGGTTTCTTTGGAAAGCAATTGCCAGAGTCACAAGAAAACAGTAGGTGCTCTCAAACTGCCAAGATCCAATTCTGAACTGCTTTACTCTTAATGCGTCCTCTACTGAGGAGAAGAGGATTTAGTGTTTGAAATATGAGATGCTCTTTCCCCAGACTGACTTTACAATCAGGAATGAGTCAATACATTAAATTTTTAAAAGTTTGCATGAGTCAAATCTTTTCCAGGTGTGTTTATTTCAGAGCGATCTCAGTGTAAAAGCCCAGAGGAGAATCTCGGCTGGTGGCTGAGCACATCCCATGCCTGATGTACTGTCCCAAATGAGAAACTTAACTGGCGTGCCCAGTTGCAGCCAAATATATGAAGAAGGTCAACAAAAGCTAGTTCCCAAACTTAATCATAAGACAGGCCAGGTAGCCAGTTCGTGGTTGGCTGTGCAACAGCTTAAGACAAAGTATATGCTTTAAGGGGTAGTTAGTTGGGACATAGATGCTTGGAAGGAAAAGGAATGTTGGGGTAACAACTGCCCATGGCAGGTGCTCTCCTTCTAGGGTGGTTTCCGCCTGGGCAAGCTCCTATCTCATCCCAATAGCATCCAGTCTACATCCTGGAGCTCCCCACACATTACTGGTGTATCCAACAACTGCTGCCTGGTGGAGGAGATGCAGGCAGGGCTTTATCTGTCTGTGGAAGAGCTATGCCATTTAGCAGCAGAGGAAGCCAGTCTTAGGTTATGCCAAATGAAAGTGACTTTAAAGTCCAGAAGGTGGTGCCCAAAGGCCCTAATTCCATTTGATAATGATTCATTGGTGTGTGCTGACAAGTCATTTGAAGGTATGACCTTGAGCAACCAGTAACTTTGGTGATCAGCTTTTGGAAATCACTGTTTCAGATGACCATGGTGGTATGTCAACTTAGCCTGACTGTGTGTTTGTCATGGTTTAACCCCAGCCGGCAACTAAGCCCCATGCAGCCGCTCACTCACTCCCCCACAGTGGGGCAGGGGAGAGAATAGGAAGAATAAAAGTGAGAAAACTCATGGGTTGAGACAAAGTTTGACAGGTAAAGCAAAAGCCACACACACACAAGCAAAGCACAACAAGGAATCCATTCCCCACTCCCCATGGGCAGGCAAGGGTTCAGCCATCTCCAGGGAAGCAGGGCTCCATCACACGTAACGGTGACTTGGGAAGACAGACGCCATCACTCCGAATGTTCCCCCTCCCCTTCCTTCTTCTTCATCCCAGCTTTATATACTGAGCATGACATCATATGGTATGGAATATCCCTTTGGCCAGCCTGGGTCACTGTCCTGGCTGTGTCCCCTCCCAGCTCCCCGTGCACCCCCAGCTTTCTTGCTGGCAGCCCAGCACGAGAAGCCGGACTGTCCTTGACTGCTCAGCAACAACCCAAAACATCAGCACGTTATCAACATTTTTTCATCCCAAATCCAAACCACAGCCTCACACTGGCTTCTGAGAAGAAAATTAACTCTATCCCAGCTGAAACCAGTACAGTATCCACCCCTTATTTCATACCATTTACAATATGCTCAGGTCCCACACTATCCAATACAACCTCATTAATTAACCACTCCCCTTCCCATCCTTTGACACAAATTATCATTCCCTTAGTCTATGACCCACCCCTGTAAAATGTCTGTAAAATGTCCACAGATGTCCATGAAATGTCCATTGACTTCATGTAGTCCATGACTTTGGGCTCCATCTCTTATGGTGGTCCCTCCGGACAGGAGAGATGGTGTGGCATGGAGTTACTGGGCACCAAAGCCAGCTCAGGTTGGGTCACTGATGCACTTGCACTGCTTCTTGTAAGGCTTGTCCTCCATTCGTTCAGGTGGTTCCTGCTGTAGTAATTCCTATAACATGCAACTCAAACCATAGGTTACAACAATCTAAAGCTATTTACATTACAGTCTCCACCCCTGGGCCCTTTGAACTGGACCGTAGGGTTTAACATTGCAATGAACTCCTCCCCTTGCCCTTGCTCCAGCTTGGACTTATCCACAGACTGCAGTCCCTTCCACGAGCCACAGTCTCTCCAGGGGTGTATCTGCTGCGGCATAGACTTATCCACAGTTGCAGTCACTTCAAGGTGCACCTGTTACAAAATGGCCTCCTCCATGGGCCACACTACCTCCAGAGAGATATCTGCTTCAGCGTGGCCTTACCCATAGTTCCAGTCCCTCCAGGAATGTATCTGCACTGTGCATGGCTTATCCATGGCCACACGCTTTGAGGTGCTCCAGCATGACCTCATGCACAGCCACTGATGCTTCAAGGTGTACCTCTAGGTGTAACTCTATCCCAGCTGAAACCAGGACAGTGTTCAATTACTACATGGCCATGTATATTAGCATATCTCCTGCAGAGATTTACAGCCCTCCTGAATCCAGATGGTTAGTCTCTGGATCTCCAGCATACCTTATGTCAACAGTACGTCCCATCACACAGCTCATTGCAGCAAATGTCCCCTAGAAAAATTATGACTCAGGAACAGAGAAGAATGAGACAGAGGAAAGTGAGAGGCAGGTGGTGAGAGAGAGCAGTCAAAAAATTGTAAGGACATGGAGGTAAGAGAGACAAGGCCTGTCACGAAGAAGTTGTCTTATTTCACTGCAATTCTGACCTTGTGGGACTGTTGAAAGAGGACAGTGCACTTTAGAAGCCTATCAATATCGCCCATGTGGGAAGAGTAATTATCAGACCTAGTCTGCGAACATTTCCTAAAGACATATTCCTCACTGCCTGCTAATTCATTATTCCTAATGAAAGGAAAAAAATAACAGGTGCTCAGGGTAAAGCTCATTCCTGGTAGCATAAGACAGCATGCAGTTATTATTTCTGTTCTTGGTTGCACCTGGGGAGCTGGGCATTTGGCCCAGTGTCAGTTACTGCCACAGAACCAAGTGTGGTTTAACTCTATTTGGAGCTAGCCATGTTGCGAAGCTGTTCTTCAGCGTGATGTAGTGCCATTTTGGGGAGAATTTGTGTGTTCAAAGTGAGGCACTACAAGTTATTTTAACAGGACACCATGTATGTTGACTTGGAAACCCATCTAGCCCTCAGTCCGTGCACTGATGAAATGGGGCATACTAAGAGGAAAAAAAAAAGTGAAGCTGAAAAATGCACAGGGAGCAAATAGAAAACTGCAGGAGAGCTCAAGGACTTTGCATGGGGTTGTGACCCAGTCCGAGCGCTCCTTCTCTCTTCCATTTCCCAAGCAAATGAGCATGAAGAAAAAGTGGTTGCCCGCCCCACCGCTTTCTGAATTGTGGGAAATTACCGATTCACACCTTGGCCAGTACAAAGAAAAGTGTGTGGGTAAGAAATGACTGGCAAGTGCCACATGTTCTCCTGCAGACGTTCATATTTGTCCCTATAAAAACAGGCTAGCTGGGAGTCCAGAGTGAAGTGTTCTGCATTTTTCCTGGCAATTGCTTTAACATGTTTCTCTAACTTTTGCTTCTCATGATGAGCATTTTGTGAAAAGTAGGTACTGTTGCAACCTGTACTACTTGATCATTCCTAGAACCATTCCAAATCAAGGGCACAGCTACACAAAGTGATGTTGAAGCCTTCTGAGAGCTGTTCAGACTATGCCCGGAACAGAGAGGTTACAAATTTACTGGGCTTTTTCTAGGAGATATTCTGATGCAATCATATTTATTTAGAAAAATATATTGCTTAAAAACCTGAGTATTTGGCTGAAGTGTTCCATTGCTCATGTCTTGGGTTTATGGGTTAAAAAAATCAACTTTTCTATGGAAGTCAGATACTTTGTATTTCAAAATAATACTATAGTTGAAAGTCCTCCGATACAGTCTCTAGAGAAAATTCTTGGACCACTCCTTAGCAACGAGGCTGTTTGCAGGTAGTAAACCTGATTTCTTCTGCTAGTGCTCTGAACATTGGATTTGTCATAAGCAAAAGAGCTGG